GACCCAGGCATGCCAGGCGAGGGCCAGAGGGGGCCGTGGGCAGGAAGTCCCCTGCGCTCCCCTTTGATGGGGGCTCCGGGCAGGGCAGAGGCCCCTCAGTACACTATCCATCCACTCACCCCATCTCAGGATAACGGAAATGATTTTGGCATTAAGAGGAGGGCTTGGGATTGTTATCAGCTCCCTACTCTTTTAGAGGGAACTCTGCTCAACTCTTCCCAGACCCGTCTTCTGAATACAGGTGAACTGAGGCAGTGCGGGGGGGAAACTGCACTGGCCTTGGCCTGTCTCAGGCCCTGAACTTGGCCTGCTGTTCACCCTGCCACCTCCAAAGTTGAGGGGCAAGGGTCTCCAATTCTTCTGGACCCTCTTCCAGAATGAACCCTAGTAGGTGAGGGAGCGCCGGCCTCCAAAAGCTCTCCCTGGGAACACCACCTTCAGGATGGGATGCCTTTGAAGAGTCAGCATGGGCAGGCCCAGCCCCTTCCAATCAGAGCTGGGCTGTATCACACCAGAGCATGGTGGAGGCAACTGCGTGTGAATTCTGAGGCTCGGGATAAAAGTAACACTTCAGCTTCTACCCTGGGCCCTTGAATCTCTTGCTCTGGCAGGGGAAGCCGGGCGCCATATTGTGAGGACACTCAAGCAGCTCCGTGGGTTGGCCCACCTGGAGGAGGACTGAGGCCTCCTGCCTACAGCCAGGCCTAACTTAGCAGTGCGTCCTCCAATCCTTAGCTGATTTCAGACAACAGCAACCTCATGAAAAACCCTGAGCCAGAAATGCTCAGCCAAACTGTTCCTGACACCTTTGCCCCCCTCCAGAGTAGTTCTGACAAGTGGGGTGAGGCCATCCTACCAGAGACGCCCCACCCTTTGCCCTGGAGCCAGGGCCTGCATTCCAGTCCTGCCTCCACTCACCTGATCATCTCTGTACTCGGGCCCGAGAGCAAGACTGCTTCTGAGAACTCAAAATACTCCAGGAGCCAGTCCCACCTCAGGTACGGGCTCTGCTCACCTGCGCGCGCACACACTAATATTAGTGTATGAACACACCCACATACAAGCACATACGTGTGCATAAACACGCCCAGGCCTGTGTCCCGACTCCCAGCACAGAAGCTGCCCGGCACTTCCCATCTCCATACCTCCTCTTCCCTTGTAACGACAGCCACAAGCTCTCTTGGCCACCAGGCTGTGCCTGGATGCCATGGCCCAGGCCTCAGGCTCCTGCCTCTGCACCAGGCCGCTGCTGGCTGGCTTCCTTCCTTCCATGGCAGCCTGTTTTTTTTTTTTTTTTTTGTTTTTTTTTTTTTTTTTTTTTTTTTTTTTTTTTTTTTTTTTTTTTTTTTTTTTTTTTTTGGTAGAGGTGGGGTCTTGCTATGTGGTCAGGTTGGTCTTGAACTCCTAGCCTCAATGGATCCTCCCGCCTTGGCCTCCCAAAATGCTGGGATTACAGGTGTGAGCCACTGAGCCCAGTCTCCTTTGAATGGGCCCCCACCAAGCCTAATCCCCTCCCTCACCATAGTACCCAAAGCCATTGTCTTTTTCATGTTGAGAAGCCCACCGGCCTCACTCAGGCTCTGCCTATTACACCAACCACCGTCTCCACTGCTCCAGGCCCTGCTCGGAGTGGGTTGAGAATGGGGGTTCTTCTTCCCATCCCCATGCAAAGTGCTTCACTCAGGAAGTGGCATCAAAAATACCCCCACTGGCTGGGCGCAGTGGCTCACGCCTGTAATCCCAGCACTTTGGGAGGCCAAGGTGGGTGGATCACCTGAGGTCAGGAGTTCGAGACCAGCCTGCCCAATATGGAGAAACCCTGTCTTTACTAAAAATACAAAAATTAGCCAAGCATGGTGGCTCACGCTTGTAATCCCAGCTACTTGGGAGGCTGTTGGAGGAGAAGCGCTTGAACCCAGGAGGTGGAGGTTGCAGTGAGCTGAGATCACTCCACTGCCCTCCACCCTGGGTGACAGGGCGAGACTCCATCTCAAAAAAAAAGAAAAAAAAAAATCCCCTCACTGCAGGGTTGGGCTACTCTTGCCCTGAAGCCCCCTCTCTTAGCTGGGGCTGCAAAAGCCCTGGTTGTCCCCACAACCAGATCTCAGGGCTCAGAAAGGGGCCCAGAGTGGTCTTAGGACTCCCAAAGGTCTCCCTGGAAAATGCAGCCAGGAGGAGGGGTCGGTGGGAGCTGGCTGGGGTTCACCTCTTAAGATCACCAGGAAAATAGTGCCCTGGGCTTTCACGGGGGCCTGGCCCTCCCTGTCTTCTCTCCTGACCTCCAGGGCATCTTCTGTCACCTTGGAGGAGCAAGCCCCTCCAGACCAAACCTCCTCCTGCTAAAAAAAAAGTCACCGTGGCTACGCTGCTCCAGGCGGCTGCGCTGGGAGCCTCTGATTGCCCAGCTCCTTCCTTTCCCACCAGCAGCCTGGTGCCTGGGGGTGAGTATGCTGGTGGTTTAGGGTGAGGCTCTGGGCTCCCCCTGAATCTTGGGGAGGGCAGGCTACTGGAGCGAGGGCTGCAAGCCTCTCCAGCTCGAATGCATGCCCTGGGCTGAGGATGGTGGCGTGGGCAGTGCCCGGGGGGTTCTAGAGATGCCCATGGAGGAAGGAGGTGCAGAGTTGGTAATGCCCATCTTTGCTGGGTTAGGATGAGGGGCTGAGGAGAAACAGGTGTCTTAGGAACCAGGGGAGCCCCATGACGAGACAGAACTTATCAGTGGTGGGGAGGGGTGGTCGCTCTCTGTCCCTCCCCATCCTTCAGCTCCCACCGTCCTTGGAGTGCACGGACAGAGGGTTTGAGACTGTCTGGGGTTTTCTTACTGGAGAACCACACAGGGGCCAAGACACGCACTCCAGGAGCCCACCTGGCAGCCAGGGACCACCTGCTTGCTCCTAGACATTCCACATGAGGCCTGGTGTGGTGGCTCACACCTGTAATCCCAGCACTTTGGGAGGCTGAGGTAGGCAGATCACTTGAGATCACGAGTACCAGACCAGCCTGGCCAACATGGTGAAACCTGTCTCTACTAAAAATACCAAAATTAGCTGAGTGTGGTGACGGGCACCTGTAATCCCCCTTACTTGGGAGGCTGAGGCAGGAGACTTTCTTGAACCCAGGAGGTGGAGGTTGCAGTGAGCTGAGATCATGCCATTACTGCCTTCCAGCCTGGGTGACAGAAAAAGACTCCCATCTAAAGAGGAAAAATCCATATCACAGAGAGCTCCCTTCCTCCCCGGCCAGGCACCTGCCCCATCTGCCACGCCGAAACAACGGGCCCACTCCTCGGATTTCCTCCGGGGGACAGATGGCAGTCAGGCAGGGAGCCCCATGCAGCTGCGGATGGAGACGGGTCCTGCTCGCAGCCCCTCCGAGAAACACACACCCCTCCTAGTGGGGACTGGGGCTTGGAGAGACCCTCTCACCCAGCAGACCAGGAGATGGCTGGAATACAAGGGCAGACAACCCCTGCTGGGAAAAACCACACTCACATCTACCCCACCGAACAGCTGTGGAGACCAAACCAAGACTGCGCTGTATACAGAACGCCGAGAAGATCAACCAAGCTTTACGTGAGCAGGACGGGCACAGAAAAACTAAAGGGGCCCCCGGGACCGCAAAGTAGGGTCCCTGGGGGAAAGCTCCCACGGGTCTGGCTGGAACAGGCATCACCCCTGCAGAGCCAGACCCTGGCCCCAGCCCACTACTCCTGCTTTTCTGTTTCATGAGGCCAATCCCCAGGAGGAGCCCCAGGAGCAGAACCTGAGATTTCTAAGCTTGCAGGTTACCAAAACAAACACCACCCCCCCCAAAAAAAAACAACAGATAAGCCACCTGTGTAAAAACTGCCACCCACGGAGGCGGAACGCAGGCAGCGTGGGCCATCTGGCCAGCCCGGGTCTTCGGGGTGAGGCCGCCAGGTGGGGCAGGCAAGAGGGGGGCATTCCAATTAAAAGCAAGAAATTCCAAATATTCCTCCCTGGGGATCAACATCCCCCCCAAAAAAATCAAGGGCGCCCAGGACTGTGGCTGGGGAAAGTGGGGTGCAGGAGGCATGACTCACGTCACAGTGGGCTCTTGGCACCTGCCCCACGTCCCACGTCCCATGCTCTGAGTGGCTGGCTTTGATCTCTCAAGTCAGGTCTGTGGGAACCCCCCGGCTTCTGTAATAATCGTATTGCCTATATATACTTGAATTAAAAATATATGGTGACTCCAACGTGCCCGCGTGCGTGGCAGACGGCGCGGGGCGGAGGCCACCACACCCACACACGTGGGCACACACAGCGGGGGGCTGTGTCCACAGACTGCTCACACAGTATATATTAACATATATATTGCTCAAGTATATATGCTATTTACAGTATATATCTCTATCAACATAAAACACAGGTATTTATAGGTGTGTACAATAGATATGTCCTAGGAAGTCTAGCTGGGGGACACAGGACGCTGGGGTCATGGGGCCGACACACTTGCACGGCGGGAAGGAAAGGCAGAGAAGTGACATTGTCAGGGGGAAATGACAGAAAGGAAAATCAAGGCCTTGCAAGGTCAGAAAGGGGACTCAGGGCTTCTACCGCAGGCCCGCCCCACCTGGCCGCCTCCCTTTTGGGACCAGCAATGTACAAGTTTTGTTTTGAAGTTTTGTGCAAAATGAATTAACTTAAAAAAAAAAAAAAAGTGGGTTTCTAATTGATGTAGTGGGCTTCTGGGGCTCAGAGGGTCCCACTCGGCTCATAGAAGCGGGGGGCACTTTGCCAGGTTTAGAAACTATTCCTTCTCCTCTGACGTTCTCAGAAACAGCACAACTTGGCCGGGTGCTGTGGCTCGCACCTGTATTCCTAGCACTTTGGGAGGCCAAGGCGGGCGGATCGCCTGAGCAACGTGACAAAACTCTGTCTCTATTAAAAATACAAAAACTGGCCAGGCATGGTGGTACGTGTTATGTATTCCCAGCTACTCGGGAGGCTGGGGCAGGAGAATCACTTGAACCTGGGAGGTGGAGGTTGCAGAGAGCCAAGATCGTGTCACTGCACTCCAGCCTTGGTGACAGAGGCACCATCTCAGAAAAAAGAAACATCACAACTTGACTGTCAGAGCCAAAGCCACAGAGGCCCTTGGACCTTGCTCACTCAGAAAGTCACCCCAATCAATGGAAGGGACGCCACAGCTAACCCCGTGCCTCCTGGTCGTGACCACCCAGCTGGCCCGTCACCCTGCTGTCTCTTCCCCATGGCCCTAGGGTCCCCTCACCGCCTCTGGTGCTCGGCAAGAGCCACAGCTGGTTGGGAGGTCCCATGTGGGGTGACAGCAGCTCCAGCCTCTTGTAGATGTCTGCTCTCAGCTTCCCTTCAGAAGAGAGGGCCAAGGCTTGGGTGACATCTCCCGACTCTCATGCCTATCCCTGGAGCCCCAGAGGACCAGCCTAGTGACACAGAGCCTCCAGGCCCCCTCGACACAACTCAGATCGGTCTTACCTACCCCCTCAAACAGAAACTACCGCCAACAGCAGCCTGGGTGCAAACACATTAAATAAAAAACTAAAACAAGGTATGGTTTTCTCTGTTAAGGCTCAGTTAAGCTGCCTCCTGGGTCAAGTACTTAGGAATGCCACAGCCCCCGACCAAGGGGTGGGCAGGCGAGTTGGGGGCAGGAGAGGGAGGCGGGGAGTCCTATGCTGGTCTAGTCATCTGTTGGGGAGGTGGGACACCACCTAAGAAACCCCAGGCCCAAAAAGCCAGGGATATCCCTGCTGGGGGAAACTGAGGCTCTGCCTGCCCAAGGCGGGTCCAGGGAGAGCTGAGGGAACAGGAGCTACTGCTCCAGGCTGGTGGGTCTCCTGGGACCCTCCCTCCTCCCCCAAGGACTGGGTGTTTGTGGGGGAGGGTCTGGACAGGGCCCTCTTGGCAGTCTTGCTGGGAGTTGGGCCCAGGCCCTGTGAATGGCAGGCGAGGTACAGGGGGAGTTTGGGTCCTTCCCAGCTTGGGGATGCCACCTGGGTTCCCGTCTGAGCCTCACCAGCCCCGATGACCTGAGGGGGTAGTGCTGGCCTCCACTTGGAGGGGACCAGCCCTGAGCTGACGGACCAGAGACCAGCGACCACAGTACTCGCCCCCAAAACTCTCCCGGGCGTGCCAGACTCCACCCCACCCCGCCAGCCCCAGCCCTACAAGGTGACATGACAGTTGGTAAACGGCTGTCTCGTAGGAGGGACCAGCTTCCCTCCGCATCTGCCCCTGGCCGTGGGCGAGGCTGGATGAGAAGGCGGATCAGCTCACAGCCCCCTGGGCCTCCGAAAGCATTTTCTGGGGTGGGGAAGTGGGGAAGAGGCAGGGTGTTCTCTGGAGGGCTGGGGGGCTCTGGGAAGGCAGGAGGGCATGAGGAGGCCTTGGTGTGGGCCCCTGGCCTGGAGGGATTGGCAATCGAGGGAGTCTCCCGGAGAGGCCCCTTCCTCGGGGTCCCCAGGGCCGATTTTCCAGTCTGTAGAGAAATACTGCAAGATCAATCTTCGGGGTTGGGGCTGGGCCAGGCAGCAGCGGGGAGGGGCAGAAGAGACCCTCCTAGTGCTTCTCTGCTTGGCTGACCTTCAGGGCACTGATGACACCGTTGATGTTCTCTTCTGGGACCTGCTCAGGGGGCGGGGTGGGGGAGGAAGGAGACACCTGTCGGTCAGCCCAGGAACCCGCTGCCCCCCTCCGGCCCTGCCCCGGGGGAATCTGGGTTTGGACACTCACCAGTGCATGGTCAAACTTGAAAGTACTGATGTAGTAGGCTGGGATGTCTGCAGCAGCCAAGGGCTCTGAGATCTGGGCCACGATGCCACACTCATCTAGGGACAGGGGAGAACGTCCTTAGCCTCTGCGTCACCTGGCGACCCTTGCCTCTGTGGCTCTTCAGCCTCTACCCTCTGTGGGCAATGCCTACCCTGCACCCACCATGCTCCTAGAGAATTCCCATCCGCCATCCTGCTTTTATTTTTGAGACGGAGTCTCGCTCCATTGCCCAGGCCGGAGTGCACTGGTGTGATCTCACCTCACTGCAACCTCCACCTCCCGGGTTCAAGGGATCCTCGGGCCTCAGCCTCCTGAATAGCTGAAATGACAGGCGTGTACCACCACCACGCCCAGCTCATTTGTTTGTATTATTAGTAGAGAGGGGGTTTCACCTTGTTGGCCAGGCTGGTCTCGAACTCCTGACCTCAAGTGACCTACCTGCCTCAGCCTCCCAAAATGCTGGGATGACAGGCGTGACCCACTGCACCCGGCCTCCCACTCGCCATTTCTCTTGAAGGCTTAACCTGGATGTCCCCCAGCCAAGAGCCGTCTCTGGTCGCTGGCCGGCGATGCAGGCTGGCTCTGTGCTGCTGTCTGAATCTTCCAATTGTAATCTGAAGTCTTGGAGGTGGGGCCTGGTGGGAGGTGACTTGGCCGTGGGGGTGGATTGCTCATAAATGGTTTAGCACCATCCTCTTGGTACTGTTCTTGTGACAGTTAAGTTGTCATGAGATCTGGCTGTTTAAAAGTGTGACACCTTGGCTGGGTGCGGTGGCTTACACCTGTAATCCAAGCTACTCTGGAGGCCGAGGCAGGAGAATCACCTGAGCCCAGGGTGCAAAGGCTGCAGTGAGCTAAGACTGTGCCACTGCACTCTAGCCTGGGTGACAGAGCAAGATCCTGTCTCAAAAAAAAAAAAAATGCTATCCACCAAAGACACTGTCTGGACAATCGTGGAAACAGAGGCAAGACTGAGTCTTAGGGAATGACTAAAAATATTCTCCCGCGGAATCCTGCGGTTGTACAGGAAAAAGTGTTTCTTCCCAGGATGGAAAAGGAGAAGTACTTAGGGGTAACGTGGTGGGTGTCAGACTCTCTGACAATTACAGATACTTATGTGAAGACACTTCTGTCTGACGATTACACGTACTTATGTGAAGAAAATACTTTAAAAAATTGCCAACAGGTATTCTCTTTGAACTGTGGAACTAGGAGTGATGTTTTTTCTCCTTAACTTTTATCACAGCCCAATTTATTCTTTCTTTTTAAATTAAATTATTATTATTTGAGATGGAGTCTTGCTCTGTTGCCCAGGCTGGAGGGCAGTGGCACAATCTTGGCTCACTGCCGCTAGAACCTCTGCCTCCTGGGTTCAGGCGATTCTCCTGTCTCAGCCTCCCAAGTACCTGGGATTACAGGCGCAAGCCACAATGCCTGGCTAACTTTTTGCATGATTAGTAGAGATGGGGTCTCACTATATTGGCCAGGCTGGTCTCGTACTCCTGACCTCAGGTGATCCACCCACCTCGGCCTCCCAAAGTGCTGGGTTACAGGCACGAGCCACCACGCCTGGCCTCTTTATTGCTAGAGATGAGGATTTGCTCTGTCGCCCAGGTTGGAGTACAATGGCGTGATCATGGCTCACTGCAGCCTTGAACTCTTGGGCTCAAGTAATCCTCCTGCCTCAGCCTCCTGAGTAGCTGGGATTACAGACGCCTGCCACCATGCCCAGCTAATTTTAAATTTTTTTTCGTAGAGACAGGGCCTTGCTATGTTTCCTAGGCTGGTATAGAACTCCTGGGTTCAAGGGATCCTCCCACCTAGGCCTCCCAAAGTGCTAGGATAACAAACATGAGCCACTTCGTGCAGCTGTTTAATTTTCTAATAATAAGCAATGTATTCATTTTCAAGAAGGGACAAAACAAAATCACTCTGATCGAGGCCTGCTCCTCCCGTCCTCAAGAGGCCTGTGTGCACCTGTCACACGCTGGGGAGCAACCGAAACTTTGGGCTCCACAAACCTCAGTCTCATCTGTACCCCCAGCAGCGGCTGTCACCGAGGTCAATGTGTGTGAGTGGGCCCGGCAATGCCAGCTCCCCCTCCCCCCATGCAGTCCCCCCGAGGGCTCACCAAATCCCAGGGGCTGTCCTCCAATCCGCACCATCTTCCAGAGCTCTCCGGATGCGCTTGTGAACAGCAAGTTACTAGGAAACCTTCAAAGGGGGTGAGAGAAGAATCCCCGAGGCTGATGTGAACTGCGCTCCCTCCTTGGCGTGCTGGTGCATCAGCCAGAGGGAGGCAGGGGGCTGGCCGGGCGGATGGGTGGGTGGGCCAGAGCTGAGGGCCCACAAGGACCATCCCCTCTGGACAGCCTGGACCCATTCGCCCCAAAGCCTCCTTGTCTTGCGGGGAGGCAGATGGGGAGGGTGATATCAGTCTGGGGTTTGGAACAAGACCCCTGGGCCCCTTGCTAAGGCTAGTCTGGACACTTCTTCCCAGGTCCAGAGCAGAAGCTGAGGGACAAATAGCACTGGGGCCGTGGTTCAAATTCCCACCTTGCCACCCCCTCACTGTGGAACTTGGACAACCCCTGCCCCTCTTTGAGCTGAGGAGCTGGCTCACTTATGATGAAGGGCGACAGTGAGGGTTTATTAGAGACAAAGTGGTTGGGCACAGTGGCTCACGCCTGTAATCCCAGCACTTTGGGAGGCCGAGGTGGGTGAATCACCTGAGGTCAGGAGTTCAAGACCAGCCTGGCCAACATGGTAAAACTCTGTTTCTAAAAAAAAAAATAAAAAAATGAAAATACAAAAATCAGTGTGGTGGCACGAGTCTGTAGTCCCAGCTACTCAGGAGGCTGAGGCACACGAATCGCCTGAACCGCGGAGGCAGAGGCTGCAGTGAGCCGAGACTGCACCACTGCACTCCAGCCTGGGCGACACAGTGCGATCCTGTCTCAACAGAAATAAAAACGAGGGCCAGGTGTGGTGGCTCACATCTGTAATCCTCACTTTGGGAGGCCGAGGCGGGCGGATCACTTGAGGTCAGGAGTTTGAAACCAGCCTGGCAAACATAGTGAAGCCCTGTTTCTACTAAATGCGCAAAAATCAGTGGGCATGGTGGCGGGAACCTATGATCCCCACTACTCGGGAGGCTGAGGCAGGAGAACTGCATGAACCCGGAAGGCGGAGGTTGCATGAGCTGAGACTGCGTCACTACACTCAGCCTGGGTGACAGACTGAGACTGTTTCAAAAAAAAAAAAAAAAAAAAAAAAAAAAAAAAGACAAAGTGGGTGATGGGCCCATCACAGAGTCCCCCCAGACCCTGGGGCCCACCCTGGATTGAGCGTCCACCCCAGGGCCTGGCTCACCTCTGCTGCGTCTGCACGTCCATCACCAGGGAGATGTAGCCCTCAATGAGGGAGAAGGAGAAGAAGCGGATGTGGCCGCAGTCATCCCCGGCAGCCATGGGGTCCTTCACTCTGGGGGTTGGGGGGAGCTGGTAAGGATGGAGCCCTTGAGGCGCCTGCCCACCTGCCCAGGGAAACTGGGCCCTGCCCAGGCTTTGATGCCACCTGGGCAACCCTGGGCCAGGGTCCTTCTCATCTGCTCGCAATGCAATGGGGATGATTTCACCACATTCAGAGGCGGGTGCTGCGCTTTGCAGTGCTGGGGGGCTGGCTGACCCCCCCGCACAGGCTACTGGGCCCCTTCCGGGGTCTGCCCACACCTCAGGGCACAGGCTGGGGTGACCGTCAGCATGCTGGACCCTGCCCTGCCCTGCCCCACCTGGCGTTGGCCTAAGCTTTACAAAATCCACTGAGGAAGTGATGCAACGCCTGTCATTCACCAAATGAAAAAATCTGGGTTCTCCGCTCCACAACAGACTGGGCCTGTCCTTGGAGCTCTGTGGGGAGTGGAGAGTTTGTTATAGCTCCCAATGTGTCCTTGGAGCTTCACCAAACTTTGGTGTTCCCAGGGTAGGATGTCTCTCCCCTCAGACTGGAGCTTTAGGTAGAGCTGTTTCCCCCCTCGGACTAGCTCTGGGGCAGGTCCGTGTCTCCCCCCGTCAGATTAGCTCCAGGTGGGTTGGTGTCTCCCCCCTCAGACTAGCTCTGGGGCGGGTCCACGTCTCTCCCCTCAGACTAACTCTGGAGTGGGTCTGTGTCTCCCCCATCAGACTAGTTCTGGGGCAGGTCCCTGTCTCCCCACTCAGACTAGCTCCGGTGCAGGCCTGTATCTCCCCTATCAGACTAGCTCCAGGGCAAGTCTGTGTCTCCCCACCTCAGACGAGCTCCTGGCAGAGCCGTGCCTTCCCCCAGCCCACCCCGCGGCCCCACACGCCCGAGGCAGCCCTACCCACTGGAGTAGAACATCACGTCCATGAGGAGTGTGGTGACAGCAGGCAGCGTGTCGGGGTCCAGGCTGGTGACGCAGAACCTGTTGCTCGGACTGGACAGCGGGTGGATGACCGGCCTCTGGACTGCAACAGCACAGAGATGTCGGGCACTGAGGCTGGGACCGAACGCAGCAGCGTGGGTGGGTGCAGGGCCCGGGAAGAGGGCTGGGGCGGCTCAGCCGCAGGCCCAGACAGACTCAGGCACCGCTGCCTGTCCAGCCTCTGCCACCACCTACCACCGCCCTGATCCTCCAGCTCACCCGCAGGCCCCGGGCCTTTGCACATGCTGTGCTGGCTGCCTGGGATGCCCTTCCCACTGTCACCCCCTGGCTCCGCTCCCATCCATACTCCAGGCTTCAGCTCCACAGTCCCTGCCCAGGGAGGCCCGCCGTGACACGCGGCCTGCTGCAGGAGTGGCCTCTGGCCATTGCTGTCTGCGTGCACGCCCAGCACCCTTGCTAGACATGGCAGCGGGGCCTACCTAGGACCTTTGCGTCACGTTCTTTTTTTTTTTTTTGAGATGGAGTTTCGCTCTTTTTGCCCAGGCTGGAGTGCAATAGCACAATCTCAGCTCACTGCAACCTCCACCTCCGAGGTTCAAGCGATACTCCTGCCTCAGTCTCCTGAGTAGCTGAGATTACAGGCATGCACCACCATACCCGGCTAATTCTGTATTTTTAGTAGAGATGGGGTTTCTCCATGTTGGTCAGGCTGTTCTCGAACTCCCAACCTCAGGTGATCCACTTGCCTCAGCCTCCCAAAGTGCTGGGATTACAGGCATGAGCCACCACGCCGAGCCCTTTGCATCCCTCTCTGCCTGGCACTCCATTCATGCTCAGTGGGCAGAAGCCCGTGCTGACAGTGAGGCTAGTCTGTGGCTGGATCCGGTAACTTCGTGAGGTTTCCTGTGTACAAACCCCGCCCCCAGCTCACCCATCTTGGGCTTCACGAAGCCATTGGTGATGCCGAGGTTCTCGGCTGCCACGGTCTCGCCATTGACGACCCGCAGGATGGTGAACTCTGATGACAACGTGTGGGTGACAAACGGCAGGTCCCGCTCGCGTACCTGAGGGCAAGCAGTTGTGGCAGCGTGTGCCTGGTGGCCCTGGGGCATGTGGGCTTGGGGCCCCGAGCTCTCACTCTGAGACCCTGCCCCCACCCCAGAGTAGCGTGGAAGGGCAAGGCTGCAAGGGGTGGGAGACGGGAGCGAGCATGTGTGTGACCGACAGGCAGGTGTGAGTGTTCAAGGCGCGCCTGTGATGACTGGCTCACCAGGATGAAGTCTGTCTGATACGTGGACAGCATGAACACGGAGATGTTCTGGTCGGCCAGTGGGGCGATGACCGACTTTGCGATCTTGGTCACACCGATGGGCTGGGAGCTGGAGAAGCTGCCACCGCCGGACACCACGTTCAGGGCCAGCCAGGTGGCATCCGCCACACTCAGGTGCTCTGAGGAGGGCAGCTCTGCAGGGAGACACAGAAGGCAGCCCTGTGACTGACTGCTGGGGTCCCAGCTGTCCCCAGGGCAGGGCAAGGCAGGTCAGAGAGGAGGGGATGAGGCTCTGGGGCCAGCGCCACCCAAGCCTCACTTTCCAACAGGATGGGATTGTTTTTTGAGACAGAGTCTTGCTCTGTTGCCCAGGCTGGAGCGCGGTGGTGCAATCTTGGCTCACTGCAACCTCCATCTCCCGGGCTTGAGCGATAGCGGTGATTACAGGTATGCACCGTCACACACAGCTCATTTTTGTATTTTTAGTAAAGATGGTGTTTTCCCCATGTTGGCCAGGCTGGTCTCGAACTCCTGGTCTCAAGTGATCCTCTTGCCTTGGCCTCCCAAAGGGCTAGGATTACAGGTGTGAGCTACCATGTCTGGCCTTCAACAGGATGGGATTTGAATCCAAGGCTGCTTCCTGGGAGGACTGGGCAGGAAAGGCCCTCAGATGACACAGGACGTGGCAGGCAGCTCAGCAGAGCAGGAGCCACGTGGAGAAGTGGCTGATCTGTGCCGAGCCTCAGTTTCCTCAGACGTAAAACGATGGTGTCAGTAGAGGGTAATGCCCTTATTTTGAGTCCTTACAACCCTTTTGTGGGTCTGGCGCTGTCATCATGCCCACCATCTTACATGCAAGTGGCTTTCAAACTGTGTTCCCGGAGACCTCCCGGGGAGGCTCTGGGTGGAGGGGAGGCCAGGAGAAGGCAGGGTGGGGATCTGAGGTTTCTCTTTCTGCTTCATCCAGCCCTGCACACTGGGCTTCTCTGGAAGAACAGGCAGCTCCAGGGGGAGCCCTGAAGATGCTGTACCTTGGGGGGAGGGCAGTGACTGTCACCCATGCCCCTCCTGAGGGCCTGGAAGTCCCAGGGGCTGACACTGACTTTGGCAGGATGGGAGGCCAGAGCAGAAGCAACTGCTAAGCCTCCTTACCTAGCTCATGCACACCCAGAATCCAAATGTCTGAGCCATCCCTTCCACCGTGTCCTGCAGACAGAGTCCCTGAGTAGTCCTGAACGTGGGACACAGGCACACACTATGCACGTGTGTCCACAGACTCACAGCTGCAAACTCGAGACCAGGATGCAGGCGGGACTCTTCATGCATCACCGGGCACCTGCCTAAACGCACCGAGTTCCAGGCCCTGAGCGGGGAGGGGCATGGCACAGTGGAGGGACTCTGGTGCCATCCCACAAAGAGGCAGGTTTGTTTGTTTTTGTTTTTTCGAGATGGAGCCTCACTCTGTCACCCAGGCTGGAGTGCAGTGGTGTCATCTGGGCTCACTGCAGTCTCTGACTTCCAGGTTCAAGCGATTCTCCTGCCTCAGCCTCCCAAGTAGCTAGGATTACAGTTATCTACCACCATGCCTGGCTAATTTTTGTATTTTTAGCAGAGACGGGGTTTTGCCGTGTTGGCCAGGCTGGTCTTGAACTCCTGGCTTCAAGTGATCCACCTGCCTGGGCCTCCCAGAGTGCTGTGATTATAGGCGTGAGCCACCGTGCCTGGTCGAGGCAGGGTTATTTTGCTCACTGTATACTCAACAGTCCAGAAATGCTGGAAGGGGCAGTGATCTGCCTAAGATCACTCAGGAAGTAACAGAAACAGCAATCCAATACAGGTCTGACTCAAGGACCCACATGCTGTCTTGTGCACCCAGTGAAAAGTACCAAGTCCCTCAGAAAACAGGGTGCTAAAAAGAGAGGGGCTGAGGCTGGAGGCGGCGGCTCGCGCCTGTAATCCCAGTGCTTTGGGAGACCAAGGTGGGAGGATCGCTTGAGGCCAGGAATTTGAGACCAGCCTGGGTCACACAGCGAGACCCCAACTCTAAAAAAATAAAGATAAAAAATAAATGAGCCAGGCGTGGGGGCACATGCCTGTGGTCCCAGCTACGTGGCAGGTTGAGGTGGGAGGATCACTTGAGTCTGGGGTATGGAGGCAGCAGTGAGCTGTGACTGCACGCCAGCCTGGGCAACAGAGCCAGACCCTGTGTCAAAAGATAAAGATGAAAAGGGAGGGAGGGGCTCAGAGACGGGTAAGCTAAGGCAGCTGTGATGATGAAGATTCCTGGGAAAAGGCAAGCTTGGCCCGAGAGGAGGGAAATTGAGGCCCATGCCTTCCTACCTGCCCAGTTCTGGTCACCATGGTGACCACAGCCCAGGGAGCCCATTGGTCCAGGTGGCTGAGAAGGGCCAGTGGTCAGCCGATGGGCAGCTGGAGAGGCAGGCGGCTGCAGAGAAATGGGGAGGCGGCTCCCATCTTTGGCAGTGGGAGGCCTATCTCTTATCAAAGGCACAGGCTTCGGGCTCCGCGGGGCCAATCCTGGCTCTGTCCTCCCCAGCAGATGCAGCTGCTGATACAGCCTGCGAGGCGGTAAAGCTTTGGGGTGCACATGTACCTTGAGGGGGTGCTGACATAATGAAGACTCTGCCACAAGGAGTCTCTCGGCAGCTTTAGACGATTCCCAGAGTGGTCCTGGGGAGAAGCCCAGGCCTGAGGCCAGCTGCAAACGTGGGTGCGGGGGAGGAGGCGGCAGCTGCTGGCTGGAGGATTTCAGGTCAGTCAACAGCTGGCCAGCAGCAGGCAGCCTGTCTGATGGATTGGTCTGCCCACCCTGCTCACAGCGTCAGCCCTGGGCAGAACTCAGAGCTGCTGCCGCTGCCTTTTTTTTTTTTTAAGAGAGAATCTCGCTCTGTTGCCCAGGCTGGAGTGCAGTGGTGCAATCTCCACTCACTGCAACCTCTGCCTCCCGGGTTCAAGCAATTCTCATGTCTCAGCCTCCTAAGTAGCAGGGATAGGTGTGCGCCACCATGCCCAGCTAATTTTTTTGTATTTTTAGTAGAGATGGAGTTTCCCCATGTTGGCCAGGATGGTCTAGATCTCTTGATCTCTGCCCACCTCGGCCTCCCAAAGTCCTGGGATTATAGGCATGAGACACTGTGCCCGGCCTTTTTTTTTTTTTTTTTTTAACAAGAGTCAGGGTCTTGCTCTGCTGCCCAGGCTGGAGTGCAGTGGTGCAATCACAGCCCACTACAGCTCAAACTCCCAGACTCAAGCAATTTTCCCACCTCAGCCTCCTGAGTAGCTGGAACTACAGACACGCCCATCACACCTGGTTAATTTTTAATTATTATTATTTTTTTTTGGTGGAGATGGGTTCTTGAGATGTTGCCCAGGCTGGTCTTCTTGCCTTGGCCTCCCAAATGGCTGGGATGACAGGCGTGAGCCACCTCATGTGGCCACCTCTCCACCTTTCGATCAGTCACTGCCTGCTGACCATGCCTTACCAAGCGTGGCATGGACCAACTGATGTACTGCTGTTCCCAGTTCACAGACAAGGACCTGTGATGGACGAGGGCTGGTGATGTGGAGCACAGATCAGTGCTGGGCAGGTCTAAGTTTCTGCCCACTACCCAGAGGCTTCTAACACTCCTCTGAATCTGTCAGGACACCTAGCACGGCACACACGGCTCATTAAATACATAAAAGAGGCCAGGCACAGTGGCACACACCTGTAATCCCAGCACTTGGGAGGCCAAAGCAGGCGGATCACTTGAGGTCAGGAGTTCGAAACCAGCCTCGCCAACATGGGAGGGCAGGGGATGGCTTGTAAATGACACGAACCAGCAGCGTTCCTTGTTTAATGTGAACGTTAAAGAGATTCTTGGTCTGAGCACAGTGGCTCGTGTCTGTAATCCCAGCACTTTGGGAAGCTGAGGCAGGTAGATGGCTTCATTCCAGGAGTTCGAGATCAGCCTGGGCAACATGGCAAAACCCCGTCTCTACAAATGATAGAAAAATTAATCTGGTGTGGTGGCGCCTGGCTGTGGTCCCAACTACGTGGTGGGTTTTGGTCTTTACTAAAAATACAAAAGTTAGCCAGGCATGGTGGTGTGTGCCTGTAATCCCAGCTACTCAGGAGGCTGAGGCATGAGAATTGCTTGAACCCGGGAGGCGGAGGTTGCAGTGAACTGAGATTGCACCCCTGCAGTCATACATGTAAAAAATCAGAATACACGCAGGTACACCCCCACATATTGCACCCATTTGAGCCAAGACCTTTTTTTTTTTTTTGAGACAGGGTCTTGCTCTGTCACCCAGGCTGGAGGGCAGTAGCACAATCATGACTCACTGCAGCCTCAACCTCCCATGCTTAAGTGATCCTGCCACCGAAACCAACCATGTATTTGGGACCACAGCCAGGCGCCACCACACCAGATTAATTCTTCTATCATTTGTAGAGACGGGGTTTTGCCATGTTGCCCAGGCTGATCTCGAACTCCTGGGATGAAGCCATCTACCTGCCTCAGCTTCCCAAAGTGCTGGGATTACAGACACGAGCCACTGTGCTCAGACCGAGAATCTCTTAACAACGTTCACATTAAACAAGGAACTCTGCTGGTTCTTGTCATTTACAAGCCATCCCCTGCCCTCTCAGGAAAGACCCAGTGTCCACTGAACCATGACCAGCTGCTGGCTTCCAACTGTCAAGGCTGCCAGTGAACACACAGCCTGGCTCACGTTCAGTGGCTGAAGAGGCTCTCTGGTGGGAAGCAATGTTTGCAGCCTTGGAGGTTTGCAGGACTGGGTGACAGGGCACTGGCCTTCATTCCCCATGCCAGAGTCAGCGTCCTTCTTCCTGGGGTCACGCCTGTAATCCCAGCACTTTGGGAGGCCAAGGTGGGAGGACTGCTTGAGGTCAGGAGTTCGAGACACACATAGGCAACATAGTGAGACGACTCCTCTACCAAAAAGACAACTAGCCAGTGGGCCATGTGCGGTGGTTTACACCTATAATCCCAGTACTTTGGAATTTTGGAAGGTTGAGGCGGGCAAATAACTTGAGGTCAGGAGTTCGAGACCAGCCTGGCCAACATAGTGAAACCCTATCTTTACTAAAAATATAAAAATTAGCTGGGCATAGTGGTGCATGCCTGTAGTCTCAGCTAACTTGGGAGGCTGAGGCAAGAGAATTGTT